CAAACAAGATTACTGGAGAACATGTCTACCGGATCAGACTAGCAAACAAGATTACTGGAGAACATGTCTACTGGATCAGACTAGCAAACAAGATTACTGGATAACATGTCTACTGGATCAGACTAGCAAACACGATTACTGAAGAACATGTCTACAGGATTAGACTAGCAAACAAGATTACTGGAGAACATGTCTACTGGATCAGACTAGCAAACAAGATTACTGGAGAACATGTCTACCGGATCAGACTAGCAAACACGATTACTGGAGAACATGTCTACAGGATTAGACTAGCAAACAAGATTACTGGAGAACATGTCTACTGGATCAGACTAGCAAACACGATTACTGGAGAACATGTCTACAGGATTAGACTAGCAAACACGATTACTGGAGAACATGTCTACAGGATTAGACTAGCAAACAAGATTACTGGAGAACATGTCTACTGGATCAGACTAGCAAACAAGATTACTGGAGAACATGTCTACTGGATCAGACTAGCAAACAAGATTACTGGAGAACATGTCTACTGGATCAGACTAGCAAACAAGATTACTGGAGAACATGTCTACCGGATCAGACTAGCAAACACGATTACTGGAGAACATGTCTACAGGATTAGACTGGCAAACAAGATTACTGGAGAACATGTCTACTGGATCAGACTAGCAAACACGATTACTGGAGAACATGTCTACAGGATTAGACTAGCAAACAAGATTACTGGAGAACATGTCTACTGGATCAGACTAGCAAACAAGATTACTGGAGAACATGTCTACTGGATCAGACTAGCAAACAAGATTACTGGAGAACATGTCTACAGGATTAGACTAGCAAACAAGATTACTGGAGAACATGTCTACTGGATCAGACTAGCAAACAAGATTACTGGAGAACATGTCTACTGGATCAGACTAGCAAACAAGATTACTGGAGAACATGTCTACTGGACCATGATCAGCAAACAGAATATTGGAAAACATGTCTACTGGACCATGATTAGTAAACAGATTACTGGAGAACATGTCTACTGGACCATGATTAGTAAACAGATTACTGGAGAACATGTCTACTGGACCATGATTAGTAAACAGATTACTGGAGAACATGTCTACTGGACCATGATTAGTAAACAGATTACTGGAGAACATGTCTACTGGACCATGATTAGTAAACAGATTACTGGAGAACATGTCTACTGGACCATGATTAGTAAACAGATTACTGGAGAACATGTCTACTGGACCATGATTAGTAAACAGATTACTGGAGAACATGTCTACTGGACCATGATTAGTAAACAGATTACTGGAGAACATGTCTACTGGACCATGATAAGTAAACAGATTACAAGAGAACATGTCTACTGGACCATGATAGGTAAACAGATTACAAGAGAACATGTCTACTGGACCATGATTAGCAAACAGATTACAAGAGAACATGTCTACTGGACCATGATAGGTAAACAGATTACAAGAGAACATGTCTACTGGACCATGATTAGCAAACAGATTACAAGAGAACATGTCTACTGGACCATGATAGGTAAACAGATTACAGGAGAACATGTCTACTGGACCATGATTAGCAAACAGATTACAAGAGAACATGTCTACTGGACCATGATAGGTAAACAGATTACAAGAGAACATGTCTACTGGACCATGATAAGTAAACAGATTACAAGAGAACATGTCTACTGGACCATGATAAGTAAACAGATTACAAGAGAACATGTCTACTGGACCATGATAGGTAAACAGATTACAAGAGAACATGTCTACTGGACCATGATTAGCAAACAGATTACAAGAGAACATGTCTACTGGACCATGATAAGTAAACAGATTACAAGAGAACATGTCTACTGGACCACGATTAGCAAACAGATTACAAGAGAACATGTCTACTGGACCATGATAAGTAAACAGATTACAAGAGAACATGTCTACTGGACCATGATAAGTAAACAGATTATTGGAGAACATGTCTACTGGACCATGATTAGCAAACAGATTACTGGAAATACTTTAGGCAGCCTAGACCAGGAAACCGTGTTGTCAGTGAGGCTGAGACACAGAGACTACAGATGCCCTAACAGGCAAGGAGACAACCAACACTCGGTAACAGAAAAAAATGGTTAGGATATATAACAGCAGCTGGCAGGATTCTTGCACCCAGAAACAGAGGAGGGCGGTGAGAGGCAATTTGTGTCTTCAGTAAGACATTGTAGCATTGGTGTAAGAGCTGAACAATGAAAATTCACGAGTAGGTGATTTTATTTGTATCATAGACGGATCTATACTGACGAATGAAACGAGTGGATAGTGTTTTATTGCAAATGAGAATAGAAGTGTTTGAGAGAAGAAGAAAAAAAAAGTAGTGCAGACTGACTTAACTGTAAATGACACAAAAACATGCTTCAGAAAATAGAAACTGGTGTCTTGCGCTCACTGGCCTGCACTGGCTCAGATCAGAAGCATCTTATGATACTGTGTTCATGACATTCAGGTATACATGGTGATGAGCAGGTTGATAGACTGACTGCTGCCGCCTCTATAATCATGAGCTAGTTTATGATAAAGTGGACATGGTGAAAAACTGTGTGGGATCAAGTGAACAATGCAACAGAACATAAAAGGACACCAATATCTGGAAAGAATGATTCAGCTGGAAGTCAGCAGAGGGTCTATAAAGGGGGAAAAAACCAGGCAAACTTGTCATCAGGTTACAACTGGCACCATCAGTGTGGAAGCTCTTGGTTGGGTACTGAGGAAGGGAGTGGAGCACATCTGGGAATGTTCCAAGCGCAGTAATGTCAGTTCTTTATTATTATTTATTCGTTTCTACAAGTTATAAGTGAGGATGTATCTACAGTTTTCAGTCACATGTTCTCAAAACTACCTATGAGCAGCACCAAATAAAACAATAGAAAATACATCTTTTTTTCTGGGAGGAGGGGAAGGGGGGCAATGACTTTCATTATAGAGTAATATGGTCGCTTTCTACATGTTTCACTATTGTATGATAAATGGTACTGTACCAGTTACAGTGACAAATGTAACAACATATACTCTTGAATTTAATTTGTTTTTTCTTTTTCACAACAAACCATTTACAATATTTTATTTCTGAATATTCTCAGTCATCAATTTAATGTGTCACACGTGCACACAAAAACTACAGAGATATTATGGTCTTTTTAGTCACAATATAAAGAATGACATAAAAACATTTTAGTGTATTAAATGGTGACTTCTGATTACAGTGTGACTAAAATGGCAAGAATTTCTCAATACTGGACGAAACTGTCACAAAAGTTGTATCATCATTTAAAATACACTAACAGCAATCTTGTTCTTTCACTCACATACATTTTCTAAGTAAATTATAATCAATGAAAAAATACGTAATCTGATACAGAAGGTGGGAAGCAGGTAAGGGTGGATAATTTAAAGGAAGAATCAGACTTGAAATATAATAAACCAGGTGAACTCATCAAAAACAGTAAAAGGAAAGTAATCAACATTCTAGATTACATAAAGAGATAGGCTGAATACTCTGAAAAATTTATCCACTGTGTGCACATACACTTTTTTTTTCTCCCTGGACACCTGAATGCAGAAACTAAGCAATATATTAACAGTAAGAGTCGCCTAAAAAAGGAGATCAGAAAAGCTATTAAACTCATGCAGCTGGTGAAAACTTGGGTCCATATGGTTTAGTAGCATCTATTAAAGCGAATACATCAATTTATGACTTCACAAATTATTTATGAAAGTCCTGGAGAATGAAAAAATAGCTGACTGGAGAGTAGGATACATGGTGAAACTGCTAGAAAGAGGACCAATGTCGAATGCTGAACTGAGAATCGACATCACAGCCCTCGGACACTCCTAAAAGCACTCCATCCCCCATTTCAGCAGCAAGCAAAGAGTTCCAATTCCGATGGCACCAGTAACTATCTGATTTTATCTCGGTCTCGCATTTCCCTTGGGTCCTGAGCGTCAGGCAGATCCCCTAGTAACTCCTCAGACTGTAATGATCTATTTGTGCCTCTGCAATGTTTACTCACTCCCAAAAGACCCTCATAACATCTATCTTGTCGTACATCCCAAGTGGATCTATACAGATGGCTTTGTGTTGAGGGGCAGACAAAGTGCATAGGGTTTCATAGCAACGTTGAATGGACGTCGCATAGTGCAACAAAGCCTTGCATACCATATCACGTCTAGTTTGAGAATGGAGGTGGAGGCAGTCTCTACTGCCTCCTGCTGGCTTGAGAATCAGATAATCTGGCCATTTATAACAACTCTGGCTTCCTAATCTGTTTTCCCACCATTTAGTTCCACAACTACATCAACATGTGCCATGTAAAGATTTTTTTGCCCTACTAAAGATCGCTTAAAAAAAAAAAAAAGTTATGTGCGGACAAGATGCAAGAAACATCCTGTCACAAATGTTAGCTTGAAAAAATGCAGGTGGGAGTAATTAGTGTATTTACTTACTGAAACTAACAACAAAACAAATTTAAAACACCCTGATGATATTTCATGTCAAAAGGTAAAATAAAAGATCCTGTGTGTTAAAAAAAACAACACATTAGGTTTCTCAAATAAAAGTATTTGCTCATTTCAGCAACATTAGCTGAACAAGATTCCTTAGCTTATAAATTACAGTACTGTCCGTTTGCATTGTATCACTGCACTATATATTGCATGCAAAATGTGAAGGCATTTCTTTGAGATGACCAAACATACTGTATTCTTTGACAGTTTGGTTACCTGCTGTTCATGTGCTATATGTGTTTACAACTACAATACTAGACCAGATTCTCTTGTGTCAGTTAATTAATTCAACTTTTATAATCTTAGATACACATCAGCAGATATGGATTCAATGTTGCCATCCTTTAGCTTTTCTCTTAACAGAACAAGTACCCATCAAAATGGAACATAATACATTATAAATGATTGTACAGAAGGAGACAGTTATCGTACTGGTGGCTGGGTCATAAATCCAGTCTGGTAGGAAGCAGAGAGGGCTTGTGACGACGGCAAGAGAAGCTGGTTTGCTCTAACAGAGTCTGCAAACAGGCTGTGGTAGTTAGGAAGAGGAATATAAGCTGCCGTTATAATTCTCCCTGCAAGAAAAAGACAGGAACATTTTGGCACCACTGTATTGCTGCTTAGCGAAAAAATACATACTTTAGACAACAACAAACACACACACACACATATATATATATATATATATATATATATATATATATATATATATATATATATATATATATATATATATATATATATATATATATATATATATATATATATATATATATATATATATATATATATACATACAGCATTTCATAAAAATCATGAATGGAAAAATTACATCTGACATGTGATGTTTTCATTCATGCATTGAAGGCGTTCATGAAAACTAGCCTCCACACTTTCAAGCAAGTCTCTATTGATGTGAGGGATTTGTGCCAGATCACTTTCTTCATCTAAAGCTTGAGGCGTACCTTTGTAGACATGTGACTTGAGGTATCCCCGTTGAAAGAAATCATATCTGGGCAGGTCAGAAGAACTGTTACTGTAGTGCTATGAGCCAATGAAATGCACTGGTCTAGTTTTCAGAGCTCCATGATGGCAAATGAAAGTCACATGCTACGAGCCAATGAATAGAATGTAACCTGTGGCACATTTCCCCCTATTCTAATGGTTGAGTACTAGCCATTTAAAAACCACTTCGTTCCCACGCCCCACCTTGTAGTAAAGTACATACTTAAAGTTGTAAACTATTTTTAAGGAAGAAAAAGAGTTCAAATATTATAATACAATAAATAACTTAATAATATTCATTATGTTGATTAATGTTATGACAAAAAAATTAAAATAATCAGTCATCTAAAATATGTAGTGGACAAGCTTTTCTCATTATGGCAGTTTGTGTTTTCAGTTTTGGTTGAACATCTTGTAAATCTAAGTTTCTTCCGGACAAAATGTTTGTAGACAAAAAGAGTGTTTCTTCTTTTTTGCTTTTCCAAGAATATAAATGTGTTATGCCTGTTTACAATATGGCAGCACCTTTCAGCCAAAACACCCAACTTCTGTAGGTAATTTGTTGCCCAGATTGGCCTTCCCAGGTAGTTATATTACAATCTCATTATTCTGTCCCAGTCAGAAGGTGGTGTGCCCCCCCCCCCCTCCCCAATCAGACTGGTCCAGAGCAACCATGTAATGATGGTCAGCCCTCAATAGAAGGCAGGGGCAGAACATAAGCATTCCTTGCTTCCATAAATGCAGAGCCAATATTTGGTGTTCTGGTAATGGGCTTGCCCAAGGAATCGTCACGCCCTGTTCAACCTCACTTCCATACACTGAGCCTTTCACTCATCACAGGCTGTGCCTCTTTAAAGTCAAGAGGAGGCAGCATGCAGACTGGAGATTTAGATTACCTACACAAAATTAGTGCTTTGCTTCTTATGCATGTCAAATTGTTATTGTAGTGGACTTCCTTGTGCATTATAGGTTCATTTAACATTTTCCTTATTGATGCCGGGGTATTCAGTGTAGAAGTGCACAAATAGATGGGCTTGCTTCTTCTAGAATCATGCTTGTGGTAAGGCCACAATACCCCAGTGAGTAGCTTTTTAGTAAAGGACATGAACAAACTTTTTTTCTCCATTCATGAGGGATTAGTTCTTGAATAGAAATGAATTTGCTACTTTGTCTTAAACACATGTCCTTTAGTGTGAATCTTGGTTAATGTGTTGAAATGAGCTTTATGCGTGTGTGCATGCGTGCGTGTGTGTGTGTGTAAAAAGCATGCATGTTTTTATTTGCATGTTTTTTTTTTATTATTATTATTTATGCACTGGGAACGAGCTAATGAATGCCAGCAGTTTTCCAGTCCATGGTTTCTGAGCACTGCATCTCCAGGAGCTAGCAGCTTCAAGATCTGAAAGTGTTCTTCTTATCAACAATGTTGTAAGGAAGGCAACCAGCCAACAAGAAGAAGTCAAGACATGTGGGGCAACACAAGTGTTGGGGCTAGAGCTTGTTTACATGTGTGTTAACTGACAGGGTTGATATCCAAATTTACCAATCAATTTCAAGGCTTTTCAGGGTCTTTTTTTAAGGTCTCCTTAGTTGTTTTTTTTTCAAGGTTGTCTCGGTATAATACTGAAACAAGATTTTTGCCTTGTTCAAGGGTGTACCAAGCACACAATGTACTTCATTCGTGCAACATGTGTTGGTTTACCAGCACATATATCATCATCATCATGTAGCATTTCCTTTGTCCTGAAAAAAACTCGGTCTCTCACCAGCTCTCCTGTCTCATGTACTTTTTTATACTCAAGGAGTCATTTCCTGTGCCCATCTTCGTGTTGGTCGGTCCCTGCGCTTGATAAAGTGTTTGAAATTTTTTTAAAGACTTGGTAGTAGAGGGCAGCAAACTGAAGTCCTGTCTGTTCTGGACCTGGTACCTGAAAGGGTAAGGGGGAGAGAGAGAGAAAGTCATGCAGAGAGGGAGGAAGACACATGCTGATGTAGACTGGGAGAGACAGCGTAAAGATGGACAGATAAAGGTAAAGGAAAAAATGAAAAGGAGTCTGGGGAAGGAGGAAAAAACGAGAGGGAGGGATGGAGACATGAGGGAAAGTGGGGAAGGGACAGAGAAAGACAGAGAGGGAGACAAATACAGAAAGAGGGAATGCAGATACAGAGATGGGCAGATGAAGAGAGAAGGAAGAAGGGAACGAAACAGAGATATGGAAGGAGGAAAATATGACAAAGAGAGTTGAAGGAAGGGGGACAGGGAGATAAGCAGACATAAAGGAGAAAGAGACAAAGGGACAGCATAGAGAGGCAAGCAGACAGAGGGAGAGAACCAAAGAAAGAGAAAAAAGGCAGAGCAGGAGAATGGGAGGGAGGTATACAAAAAGGAAGTCATGAAGGGAGGCAACCAGACATAAATCAAGAGAGAGAGAGATGGGTAAAGAAGGCAGTGAAAAACACAGATTAAGAGAGAGGGGCAGGAAGGGAGACAAGATACATCAAAGAAAGAAAAAAATAGCCTCATGCTGAACCCCCACTCCCCCCCCCCCCCCCCCCCCCACACACACAATTTCAAGTGTAGTGGACACAACCACTAGGAAAAGATGGTTATGGGCAAAAAACATATATAGATCCAGAAAAAAAGGGGAGTCGGGAGAGAATGAGAAGGGGGGGGGGGGGGGAGAGAATGAGAAGGGGGGGGGGGAGAATGAGGGGGGGGAGGGTAAGGAAATCTAGAGAAAATGAAAAGACAGGATGAAAAGGAGACAAAGAAGAGATGGGACAGGAGGAAGAGCAAGAGAGAACAGAGTAAGGAAAGGAAGAGAGGAAGAATAGAGAGATAAAGGAGAATAGTGAAAGATCAAAGGATAGAGAAGGGGTGAGAGAAGAGAGGTAAGACATGGTTTTGGGGGAGGGGGGGGGGGGGGGTGGCGATAAGAACACTGAGCACCAGAAATAGAACTAGGAAATCTCTTGTGACAACAATAGTTCAATTTCTTACACTTAAGGCTGGTGACCTGAGAGCCAAGGTCATTTTATGAAGAAAAAAGTTGAGGGGATCCCAACCCACCACTGGTGGAAAATATTGCAGGTTACCCACACACACAAATAGGTCAGGGCACCAGTGGACTTCGTTTTATTTCTGGTTTTCCAATTACAGAAAGGAGGGGGGAGAGGAGGTGGTGTAGAAGGCTGAGATGGTAAGGGTGAGACAAAGGAGGTGAAAAGGTGAGAGAATAAAGTTTAAGAAAATAAAGTGGGAACTGAGACAGTGAGAGAAAGAAATAAGATGAGATTTAGAGGGTAGAAGGAAGAGGTGCACCCCCTCCCCTAGGTGTCATCAATGTGGGAGGAGAAAGGGGGAAAGGGGGGAGGGGGGGGGGGGTGGCAAATGTGTTTTTAAAAGTACACATATATTTAATGTGTGTGAGGGAGGGGGAGTGATGGACATGAAATGTTCTGCACTAGGCAACACATAACCTTCTACGCCAACTTAAGGTATGGAGAAAGAGAGGCAGAGAGTTGGAAGGGGGGGGGGGGGGGGAGTGAGGGAGAGCAGCAAATACAAAAAGAAAAAGAGAGAGGAAAGCAGTGACAGACAGGCAGAGAGTGGGGAACAGGTAGGACAAAATGTGAGGTGGCAGGAAAGGGGATGGACAGAGATTAAGGCCCGCTAAGAAAACAAACACATCAAAAGAAAATATCCACCATGTTCACGATGAACCACCCCCACCCCCAACCATAACACAACTTTCTGTGCACTTGAGTTGCTAGGAAAAGAGTTATGGAGCCGCACATTTACTAAACATTTAAACAAGAAATTAAATAGGAAAAAAAAAGGGGGGGGGGGGGGGGGAGTCAGGAAATGAGAGAGTAAAAGGAAAGATAGAGAGCTGCTGCTGCCTGCATGTATTCATGGGCTGCAACACAGCCCGCCCTTCCCTGGCCTTTAACAAGCCATTTTGGCTGAAAATAGCTGATAATCAGCTGCCCTCACACCTGAAACGACCCTAAACAAAAGTAGCCAAAACTAGCCAAATGTCCTCACAAAAAGCCAAATGGGTCTCCAAAAATTGCCTAACTGCTGAAAATTGCAGGATTTCTGACGATCTCATTGCGACGGTCAAAATTCACGGCTTCTCAAGGTCAGAATGTCTTTTTCAAGCTGAAAATCACTGTTCCTGGCCGGAGAAAAAAAATCACGGTCAATTGAAGTTGGTCAATTCAAGTTTTCCCGGCCCACTACGAACCCTGACTGATATATGTTACATTCTGAGATAATTTACACTGTCGCCTGACACACACAAAAAAAACTAAATTCCAGACCCATAAATGCCACTTTGTCAATCTGTTCTCAAAAACATAGTTAACTTCCATTGATTCCATCTGCACCTAGCAGTGTTTAAGAGGCTAGGACATGAATGTAGTAACTAACATTAGCAGTTATGGCCAAAATGGCTTTTTTAAAGCCAAGTTGATATCAAATTTTTACGTAAGCCTCAGTGGCTGAGGTACAACATAACTCTCCCAATACATACTGTTTTAAAGGGTCCCAGGAATGTATTCTATTTAATGCTTCTTTCTGTTCAGTTTTATTTGATACCCCTTTTTTATATCTTTATTCTGTCCAAGACGTTTAAATGAAGATAAAAATGACCTGCGCAAAAGATTTTTTTTCAAGGATTTTTTCACGGGAATTCCAATTGGCTCGTGACCCATTAAAAAACTTTTTTTTTTAGCATATACAGGTCAAAAGGGTTAAGACTGCTCTGATTTTGCTTAGTTCTCTAGACACCTATTGAAATGGTGTGAACAGACAGCTGTAGCAGTTACATTTTGTAGACCCCAGTCCTAATGTTTCATACTACCCAGAAGTTCAGTCACATTTGTTGCTTGCCGGTGTTGAATTTGGTTACTGCAGGTGTTCGTATCCTTATTCCTTCTTAAACAATGTGTCTGCCCCGTCAAGTCTAGGCATGTCTGTTCTCAAAACTTTCAATATGTATTTACCAGCTTATAATTTTAACAAGAGCTAGATAGTCATATAATTGTGTACTTTTATTGATAACTGTTCAACATAAAATTAAAATATTTGTGTAATCTCACCTGCATAAAAGCGGCCATGCAGTGCATTGACAGACGCTGAGGCTGCTGAAATGCTTGGGCATTTTACATACACATTTCCCTGCGGAGAATTTTTGTCCACATACAGATGGAGGACACCTCCATGTTTGTTGCATTCATCGATGACATCATCACGAACCTCCTGGTCCCAGTTCAGTCTAGTTTCCCTGCAGAGACACATTAATAATCAGGATAAAAGTAATCCCTTAGCAGATCCTGCATACAAACATAAATGAAGCCATATACAGGCCGACATTCTTTGCCCTGAACTCTTTTGTTTCCCATAAATACCTTATCTTAGGAAGCTGCTTTAATAAGCCAAGACACCGTTTTATCTCATATACATATACAATATTCTAAATAAGCCTGGTATGGTCTGTAACAGCTTGGCCAAGTGCAACAATTCCACACTTCAGCTTGGAATTGTGTGTTCACCCTTTTTCTACAACTATATTCTCAACATGTAATAATAATCAAGTTAATCATAATTCTTTCAGCAACTAGGATTTTCTTCGGCAACCTTCAGTGTAGAATCATGACCAATACCATGTAGTAGTTACTACTTTTACCAATAGTCAAGGACATAAGCTCCAGAGATGGCAATATTATTTCTTTTAAAAAAACATAGGTCAGCCCAGCTATTAGAGAGACAGGTGGGAGAATGTATTTGCAGGCATATAATAATTATATTATCACCCTCATTCATGGAAAATATGATCCAATGTCATATCCTGACAAATTCCTACATGACAACAAATACTTTACTGTTGTACGACCACAATTATCATCAAGATTATGGTTCTGAAACAGGCAGGTGTGGGTTATATTACAGAATTTCCTCATTTTCTCTTTTCTGTTTACTGATAGCAGAGTGTACAGGAAAACTGTTAAACAGTATGTGTTTTTTTGTCCATGGAGTCGCATATTTGTTCTGTGTTGTGATGTTTGCCTTAACAAGAATACGAAAGCATTAATAATGTAAAAGAATAAACTAAAAATTTATGATGATATTCAATGGCTATGACATGAGGCAAGTTGCAATATTTTGATAAATGTCAATCAAACACCAAAAACTGTCCATTTGCTTTTGCCATAAACCATCTTCTCTCTCTTTAAATGTAGTGTTCTCAAACATTTTTAAGGTTGCGCCTCCCTTGAGCATACTGCAAACTACCCCACCCCTTTTGAGTATGCTGCAATGACACCCCACCCCACTTTCCTTGAGTATTTATACCGCAAGACCCCAACACCCCATTACAAAATGTGATTAAAAAAAGCAAGACAACAGATTTCACAACAGGGGAAAAGACAATAAAGAGTATGTTTTGCTCATACTGTGTTCTTGATCTATAAATTAAATGTGTATGTTTTATTTCATTATTCAGATCTGGCTATCCAAACTGTTTATAAAAAACCACACTTACAAAGTCCCTGGCTTTTTGTTTTATAAATAGCTAAAAAAAAAAAATTGTATTTATAATTAAACTGGAAAAAAAAATTTATGGATTATTATAAACACAAATGTAATCAGTTCCCAAATCCCCCCCCCCCCCCCCCCCCCCCCCCCGGCTGGAGACCACTGCTTTAAATAAAGCCATATGTAAGGATAATCAAATCATCCTCACAGGGACTGTCATGAATCAACTGATTTTCTTTTAATTTTGTGGGTTTTTTTCTCAGATAAGGAAAATGGGCAAGTACAAACTGCAGAGTGTGTATCATGAAAAGATATCACATCATTGCATCAGTAAGCATGAATTGTGGCATGACATGATCAAACACGCCAGTCAAAAAGTCTTTAAAAAGGAGTAGAAAATTATAGGGAAGAGAAAAAGTTGGTAAGAAACAACAATTAGTTTATGTTAGCTTTACAAAATCGATCACAATAAACAAACAAAGGATGTTGTGGCGATTAGCCTTCATCAGCACATAAAGGACAACACAGTACACATACACAAATATGCTCTAACTATGAAGTGACTACATAGGACTCTAATGTATAGAATAAATGATACTCATCTAGTGTCCCTGGCGAAAAAACTTCGTTCAATGGAATGAGTCAAAAAGTCATGCTAGTGCTGGGAAATTCAAAAATGAAGACAATATTAAAGAGCTAGGAGTTTCCACACTAGAAAGAAAGAGTGACAATAATGATCAACTACTTCTGTAATGGTCTGAATGGCATTAATGATTTCCTATATATTGTAGAAGAAAACCAGCAAAGGCTGATCATCATACCCAATATAACCTACACACTCTCAGCTATCTTCAGCAAGTCCATCTGGGCATAGGGTTGGAGTCTGCTGACAGTAAAAATATATAAACCCATTGAGGAAATACTACTCACCTCAGTCTGTGTGTGCTGTACTTATATGCTGATATGCCTTTTCACAGATGTTTAGTTATAAAAGTGGTCTTCTACAACCCACTGAACTCGGAGACTGAGTGTTCTGCAACACAGTCCCCATAGAAAAATGGTACTTTGGTGCCAGGAAAAAAAGGGTTCTCCGAAAACATTCGTCTAATAATGCAAGTCCTTTCTAGGGATTAAACCAGCCTGAACACAGATGAATAAGACTGAAGAGTTGAAGCTCAGCCTTCCACAATCAGCCAACTTAATATTCAGTAAAGAATTTGATGCAAGGAATGACCAAATAAACTATGCTGAGGTATTCAATGAGTTCAAATAACTGAGAAAGATTGTTTAGTCAGTTGACTATGTACGAGGTGGTTGATTAGGTATAAGTTCAAGAATGAGTTAATAAAAATCAAAAGAATAAAAATAACTTACGTCAGTGATTCAAACATGTTTGACAGCATAAAGCACTGAGTGGCAATAGGTGGTATTGAAATTGCCTGGTTCTGTGTATAGCCTAAAGCCGAAGTGACTGAAATATTTGGCTGCAGCCCAGCCTGTGCTGGTATAGGTGTCTGAGGGTTGATAGGTATGCCTCCAATAGTGACTGCAGCATGGGTGAGACTGTTCAGTGCACTAGCAGCATACTGAGGTATCTGAAAGCCAGTGCCTATAAAGAATGAAAGACATTAAATATACTACTGCCCTGATGGAATCACTTGTGTCAAAGTAGTGACAGTGTTAGGTAACCACTCACTGGTATTTACGGCTCAAACCCCAAAAGCAGTCTTTTTTCTCTTTCTTTCAGTCTACGATGATCAGGTCATGCCAAGTCTCCCTATCTTTTACTATTTTGTGCAGTTTGCATGTCTCCACTATCTCATTCAAATGTGTCTCAAACGTTATTATTTTTAAAAAAAAAGGGGGGGGGGTGGAGGCGCCTCCAATTATTTCTTTGACCCTGTAGGTTCCAGTGCAAGGACCCTCTAGTTATAACATTATAAGATTCTCTCAATATCCAACACCAAGGTCACTATACCTTATTTATTCTCTTTTAAAGTTCCTTATTAGTGGTTCTGTCACATTACTTTATTCCTTCTATCCTGCCTATTCACCAATTTTGCAGTTAATAAATGTACTTTATTAGTAAACTGTTTTAGTCATCAATAAACCAAAATTATAGTGGTTGCAGTACTTTCCACTTACCTTGGAGGAGGGGAGGTACTTAAAGGTAAAAGGACTGAGTTCACTGTACTGGGTTTTATCTGATATAGGTTGACATGCATGAACTTTGTACCTCCTTAAGGATCTTTGAAATACCTCCATTTGCGAACCAAAAAACGTGAGTCCTAAATCAAACCCACATCCTTCAGAGTGAATAATCCCAACCAGTGCGGCAGAAGGAAAAGTGTTGGTAGAGAGTTGAGACAAGAGAGAAACAGGCAGAACCATGTGTTACTTGTATGCAGCAAGTAGTGACACCCCAATCTTCTTAGTAATGGAAGATAGCACGCAGGCATACACATGCATGCACACACAAAGCATGATTCCCAGACTGAACCACCAAACAAATCAGTGTTGAATAATTATCTTCATAATTGTCTGACAACTTGGGAAGGCAAGATGGCAAGAGTAGGAAGGTGTCACCCAACTTCATTTGCATAATGCGAATGTAAAGCCTGATTTTCACAACTTCACAGCAGAGAATTAAAGTTACTATTTATTGCTATAAAGTGGTGAATGGTGGGAAACTCTTGAGGCCATCATAACAATGAATTATCAATTAATAGGTAGTTATTAGCACTCATAAAACATAAATTAGGAAACAAGACATATTTGAAATATGCTGAAGTGAATTTTTTAAAAGCTGGAAACTGAAAGTGTCAACTCAAATAATATCACTACTTTTACACATGAAAAAAGCTTTCCAAGAAATAACCTGAGGATTCCAAGATATAACCTGAGGAACAACAAAGAGCATTTTGAGCACTGCATTTACAGCTTTTAATATTAACACTTTTACCTTATAAGACCTAATGCACCTTTTTGGTGCATTCCTCAAAAAAATTATAACACGTAAGTTATACTCAGTTCATACAGGTCTAAGCTGCTGTTCTGTCCATACTATGACTACAATTTCTGTTCTTTTACAATTTAACTCTAAGCCTAGACTCTCACTGGGTACTATTACTGCATTCATTGAACACTGGAGATCCTGTTTGATATCTGTAGCAATGTTGGTAGTATGAACAAGACACAAACAGGATATGGGCTATTTTACAATAATACAAGTAATGAATCTATAATTTATGCTGCACTTCAGAAAAAACAAGTTGCCTTGCTAACATCCTACTTAATATACTGCACGAAGGCACAGAAATCAGTCGACACTCTTCATATAGTTATACAAAAATTTAAAATTAATGACGGCTGGCTAAAATATGATCCAACTTTCTGAAATACCCCAGACAATAATTTTCCAAGGTGGCCTCAACTGCATAATTTCTTTCTTACAATATGATAACTAGTTCTGAAAAAGGCAGGCGTATTCGCAAACAAAAATATAAGAGAGGGGAGGGGAAAGACTGAAAGAGAAAAAAGGGAATAAAATATAAAAAATGTTTACTAAATACAAGCAAGCGCTTACCTTCAGCAAGCTTGGCCATAAGTTGTAGTCGACCTGTTGCTCCTAAATCTATGCCGGCTCTGTCCAGTTCATCCGTATCCAACTGAATTCCATGTCCTCCAGCTTGGGCATTTTCAGCGCTTCGTTCTGTTACATGACCCACTTTCATTGGTCTTCCAGCTAACTCAAATCCATTAAGTTGATCCAGAGCCTTCTGGGCATCTTCAGAATTGGCAAACTGGAGATAATTTGAAAATGGTAAAAGGCAACACACTGACAACCTTCAAGACATCCTGAGTACATGTATCTCCATAAAATGGAACAAGTTAAGAAATTGCAGGGTTAGGAACGCCTTGATTCATGACTGTTAAATCTTTTTACAGCAAGCAACATGATTTTTAAAACAACTGCAAGTTGACAGTGAATTTTTGGTACTGCTTTTAAAGGACATTTATATTATTAAAAAATTAAAAGATTTGAATATGTTCAATTTTAGATATTTTCAAAATCAGTTGTACACATTATGTCGACATTGTAACTGACTCATAGGGTATGCTGAGAAAGGTGGGGACAGGCATGCTTCATGCAGAGTGGCAAGCATCACTTCAGACGTCCCGGGTAGTTAGAATCCTTTGGATATTTTCTCCAATTCATGCCAGTGTGTTGGGAAATGAGTAGGCAGATAGACTGGCCGGTTCAGCACCATTTGGTGGTGAACTGATGTATGACAAACTGGATGTTGTGAGGGCCCTTTGGGAGCAAATAAACACTGCCGAGGAACAGACAGATCATTGAGGTCTGAGGAAAATGGCACTACGAGGAGTTACAAGGGGATCTGGCCGATGCTCGACACTCAGGGACGGATATTCTATCAGACAGTTACTGGTACAATTTGAATTTTAACTCTTCGCATGCTGCAGAAGATGGGGACGGAGCGCTTATGGGGGTGTCCTGAGTGATGTGATGTCGATTCTTAATTCCACATTCAAAATCATTTAAATAGTAAATACAAAATTCATTTTTTTTTTTTAACTTTTCTCTCTCATGTTTTTAAACAGCCAGTTCTTAAAAGATTTATGAAAAAAGCCACTATGTGTTCAAGGAGGTGCTCATTACCATTGTTCTTCCAATAATCCATCACCAGCACTCACTTTCTATCACCAGAACCAAGTCCTTTGCAGAAAATCACAATTCTCATAGCCCACTGAAAAGACCAGACAGATTGCCAAGTCCCTTTTCTGAACATATGTTCATGCCCAGGAACTTCACAGGAAAAAATCACCCCATAAATGCTCCATTGCTGTGCCAGTGAAAATCACAAAAAAGTCCCTTTACTGTAAAGTAGTTTGAAAAAGACCATATCAATCCCAGAAGAATCTAGAAGGTGACACACTGAAGCTAATTGTCTTTACTGCCTATGCCTACTATTATGTGGGTCATCTTTCAGGATCTAATTTGTAATCCTGTTCAATAATCTTTTTTTTTTTAAACTACAATTACATTTCATCTGGTCAAGACATGACACTTTTTAATGCCACTGATTGAACTGTAAATACTGACTGCAGCATGTTTTTGAGGTAATCTTGTGTATATGACTGACCCATACGACCCACTGACTACTGTTGACACTGCTTTATATTGTGATCATTTCTCATCTTGTCAGATACAGTATTCCTGGCAGGGCAGAAAGGTCATCTATTTTGTTACAATTGAATAATGAATAGAAATGGCTAAAACTATCCTTGATAAATGCAATAATTATTGACAGCTAGAGAATTAAACATCACATTAAAAATAAGAATCGCCAAACATTATGTATGCTTAACCCTCCCGTATTGTGCAGAAACTTGGACAATGAACAAGCAACTAGAAAATCACACTGTCTCTAGAAATGTGAATATACAGAAGAGTAGGTTGTACATCATAAACACAAAAACAATCAAATACAGAGGTTCTGGAAAGACTGCAAAATAAAAGAGAACTACTGAAAGATATTTAAAAACAAATATTTGGCCAAATTAAAAGATATCACTCTTTTAAAATCCCTACTGCAAGGAAAAGTAGAGGGTAAGAGAGCAAGAGGTAGACAATGATACAGGTGGTAGGACAACATCAAGAGATGGATGAACAGTATGTGCAATAAAGACAAGGGACAAAGCGTGTTTGAGATCCATTGCAGTCAACCTTCACTGTGGAGAAAGCAACTGACTGGACTGATTGCTATATTTCCCCCTGTTATTTCTTGTAGTTTTTGTTAGAGTATTGTTCTGGTAGCATCACATTTGTTGAAAGATTGCGCTGAAAAGTGCTCTTTTGTTATTTGGTGACAAACATTGTTTTACATAGTTTGTACAGGTTTCCCTGGGTAATTACAGCACTTATTTTCCAGCAGATGATATGGAACTTCCCAAGCAGATGAACCCTTTGGTGGGCATTAGCATTAAACTGATGGTGTTAAATTTATGAATTTCTCAGGTTTACATTATAAAGTAACTGCTTTATATGTTAAGAATAGAGCACAACTAAGATTTGGTTTAACAGTAGGTGTGTGTGAATTTTTTAACAAAAACAACCTGTGTGGGAAGGGCAACTGTATCTTCTGAGAATATGATTCACACAAAAACAAGTCTGAGAATAAGAGCTGATGTTTTTCAAATTAACAGCTTCACTTACGCTAATGAATCCAAACCCAAGTGAGCGCTGGCTGTCATGGTCACGCATTATCTTGACGTCCACCATCTGTTGAGCAGCAAAGTGAACAAAAATCTGAAGATTAGTTCTGTCAGACATTTCATATCATATAATAAATTATGAAGATAATTCAAAAGAACATGTAAAACATTTATGTTCCAAATTTGTTCTAAAACGTTATGCACAACTTAATCATTTTTCATCAGTATAGTCATATCTGCTCTGATACGAATGGCCCCTATAATGTGCACATATTTTTCTGAAGAACAAATATTTTGCCCACGTGTAGTTTCTATAGTTCATTCAACAATTCATAAACACATATGCAAGCCATTTTCTCGAAAACTGTCTGTTAGATCACTGAATACAGTGCCCATGACATCATCATGTTCTTTTTTTCTTTAATACACTGACAATGCCTCTTTTCAAACCACCTCGCTAAGATACAGATTACTAGTCGGGTGTACTTCAACCAACTAATACTAATCCCACTGAACTATCTCTACAGAACACCAAAGTTGAACTACCTATTTCTAATTCACATGCCAAATTCAAGATCTATATCACCAGCATGTGTAACTAACCACTATGAAATATATCATGCTAAAACATGTAAAAGATGTGGCCTGCCCTCATCATCTTTAAGGAGAAATATGGTGGAACTTAAACATGCTGAGGATAGCAGACTGTGATAGATTACAGAATGTCAGAGAAAATAAGTAATTATCATTTTTTTTTTTTAAATGGAGACTATTTTCCCTGTGGCAAAGGTGTGGCAGTGTAATGTGTACCAACTTGCCAGCATAATGGTCACGATTCTTTCTTCTTCATCATCATTCATTCGAGTGATGTAATTGTGTAGTCCCACTTTATAATACAGCTGCGATATTTCTGCCTTTCGGCTGACATATCCAACTTGATCCAGCATTTGTTCACCAGGTTAGCCTTCCACATTGGTTTTGTAGGATATGATGTAACCTTATATGTGTAGTGTCCTATCTGTCACCTGGTTTATATTCATCTGAGCCATAATCCATTCCACACACCGGGGACATGTGGCAGGAGTCTTGAATATGGATCCATAAAAGCACATCCGCCTCAACTTTCCCTCTCTCCTGTGACCAAAGTCACCATGCCACTAATGACCATATTATATCCTTGATACCCAAGATTACCCCCCTACTTCCCAACAAAACTATGAGCTCAACAGTTTCCCAGTATAACAAATGATTAACACAAAGTTTTTCCCTGACACATACATACAAAATTGATCTTAATAAAAGCTTATAAAATGCTTTTTCTGCACCCAACAAAATCCTTCACATGTGGGTGTGTGTGCATCTTTTTTTTTTTAAGTTAATATAATCACACCCCGGCCATCTACAAACTATGCAGTCACAAACATACAGAACAACTAATGTGCCCATGAAAACCTTGTGCAAGCTTCTTTGTTGATTTTCTATACTAACTTTGGAAGTGCTCTATTATATATTTTTTGCTCTCCTTTGTTTTTATAACAAATATAAAAATTATACCCAGATGATCTACACACTAGGCAGCCATAATGAGTACCAAAGCTGTTGAAATACAAAGTGGTGACTGACAAACCCCTAAGACTGTTTCAGAAAACAGTTCCATGAAAGTCTGGGAAGAGAAGCCAGAGTCAGCAGGCCTCGCCAAACAATGAAGGAGCAGAATGCATTATTCTCAATACAATGGGAGAGCAGAATGCATTATTCTCAATACAACGGGAGAGCAAAATGCATTATCCTCAATACAACAGAAGAGCAGAATGCATTATCCTCAATACAAAGGAAGAGCAGAATGCATTATCCTCAATACAACGGGAGAGCAGAATGCATCATTCTCAATACAACGGGAGAGCAGAATGCATTATCCTCAATACTATAGAAGAGCAGAATGCATTATCCTCAATACAACGGGAGAGCAGAATGCATTATCCTCAATACTATGGGAGAGCAGAATGCATTATCCTCAATACTATGGGAGAGCAGAATGCATTATCCTCAATACTATAGAAGAGCAGAATGCATTATCCTCAATACTATGGAAGAGCAGAATGCATTATCCTTAATACTATGGAAGAGCAGAATGCATTATTCTTAATACAACGGGAGAGCAGAATGCATTATTCTCAATACAACGGGAGAGCAGAATGCATTATCCTCAATACTATGGAAGAGCAGAATGCATTATCCTCAATACTATGGAAGAGCAGAATGCATTATCCTCAATACTATAGAAGAGCAGAATGCATTATCCTCAATACAACAGGAGAGCAAAATGCATTATCCTCAATACAACAGGAGAGCAAAATGCATTATCCTCAATACAACAGGAGAGCAAAATGCATTATCCTCAATACAACTGGAGAGCAAAATGCATTATCCTCAATACAACAGGAGAGCAGAATGCATTATCCTCAATACTATGGAAGAGCAAAATGTATTATCCTCAATACAACAAGAGAGCAGAATGCATTATCCTCAATACAACAGGAGAGCAGAATGCATTATCCTCAATACAACTGGAGAGCAAAATGTATTATCCTCAATACAACAGGAGAGCAAAATGCATTATCCTCAATACAACTGGAGAGCAGAATGCATTATCCTCAATACTATGGAAGAGCAAAATGCATTATCCTCAATACTATGGAAGAGCAAAATGCATTGTCCTCAATACAACAGGAGAGCAGAATGCATTATCCTCAATACTATGGAAGAGCAGAATGCATTATCCTCAATACTATGGAAGAGCAAAATGCATTATCCTCAATACTATGGAAGAGCAAAATGCATTATCCTCAATACAACAGGAGAGCAGAATGCATTATCCTCAATACTATGGAAGAGCAGAATGCATTATCCTCAATACTATGGAAGAGCAAAATGCATTATCCTCAATACAACAGGAGAGCAGAATGCATTATCCTCAATACAACTGGAGAGCAAAATGTATTATCCTCAATACAACAGGAGAGCAAAATGCATTATCCTCAATACAACTGGAGAGCAGAATGCATTATCCTCAATACTATGGAAGAGCAAAATGCATTATCCTCAATACAACTGGAGAGCAGAATGCATTATCCTCAATACTATGGAAGAGCAAAATGTATTATCCTCAATACAACAGGAGAGCAGAATGCATTATCCTCAATACAACAGGAGAGCAAAATGCATTATCCTCAATACTATGGAAGAGCAAAATGCATTATCCTCAATACTATGGAAGAGCAAAATGTATTATCCTCAATACAACAGGAGAGCAGAATGCATTATCCTCAATACAACAGGAGAGCAAAATGCATTATCCTCAATACTATGGAAGAGCAAAATGCATTATCCTCAATACAACAGGAGAGCAAAATGTATTATCCTCAATACAATAGGAGAGCAGAATGCATTATCCTCAATACAACTGGAGAGCAAAATGCATTATCCTCAATACAACTGGAGAGCAAAATGCATTATCCTCAATACAATAGGAGAGCAGAATGCATTATCCTCAATCAAATTCACACTAAGGCAGCATGTAATACAGTTTATTTATTTAAAAGATGTTTTGTAGACGTGTGTCTGTTTCTCCCATTCTCTTGACGGTATTATTTTTTCATGCACAACAACCGATGTGCTCATTCAAATTTTGTACCATCTTTAATTTTATATTTTAATTTCAGCATGGCAAAAGAGGTAGAGACAAACTCTTGTAATAAAAATAAGCTCCTCAGACTTATATGACCCTCCCAGTAGCTACAGTGTTATTTGTTTCTCCTTCACTTTATACTATTCATTCTTTTTATCATTCCTCCAACGCCTTGCTAATTAAAAGTTAGTAACGTGCATTTTGCTCAGACTACTGATTAATATAAATCCTTACCCTGAACTCCAACCCTAAACAATAATCTTAACCCTAAATCCTAATTTTCAAACTTAACCCTAACCCCAACCCTGAACCCTAAATTTCTACCCTAACCCTGAACATAACTCTAAGTAGTTCAACTGTAGGGCTGCACCAATCTAAGAAGAATATTACACATGGAGAAGCATAAGTAGTGAGATTCTGATCACATGAGTCCTCACAGACCATTTGATCATAGAAAATATGGACCTACCTCATACTGCCATTAATGGAGCTGCATTACTTTTATTGATCACATTCTGATTCCTTTTGATAAAATGGAAGACCTGTGGTATATCTCAAAAATATCTACTAAAATTCACTGACGATAACAAAACTGTCTAAATTCGTCATACATGACAATTAAATGGACAGGTTATCAATAAGAAATTGATTACATACCTTCCCAAAAGGTTCAAATATCCCTCGCAGCATGTCTTCTGTTATGTTGAAATGTAGAGAGCCGACATACAACCTCATTGGTCCCTCATTGGCTTTCTGAGGTGCTGGTGTAGCAGCTGCCTGGGCTCTGTTCTTCTCTGCTTGTGATGGCTGGACAAGAATAGGCACACCCAACAATTTCTGCCCTGTAAGGCCAATGGCTAAAGGCACAGATTCAGGATCAGCAAATTCAACGTAACAGATGCCCTTCGATCGACGTGTCTTGTTGTCAGTTATAAGACGCACATCTTTCACCTGAAACAGTGCAAATAATGTAGACGGAATAATATAAATATCCCTTTCAAGCTAAAGGTATTTCCTTGACAAATACAAAAGAAGTAATGTGCAGTGACAGGATTTCATAGAGTCTAGGTCAGGGTTATTACCAGCTCTTTTGGCGGCTATCTTTTCTTCCAAACAGCAAATGTAACTAACATGTCTCTTCAATTGATGACTTAATTCTCAGCTAACAAACTAGCATACTATCCACTCTAACAATCATTCTCAACTAGCAAACTATCCACTCTAACAATCATCCTCACTTCTGCTGATTGCTAATGGCCCCCTTCTAAGTCTCTCATTTAGAGGATCATTTATGTTTTTAGAATCAGTTTCATCTTTGGCACACTCTGAGACTGGGACCCAAATGGCAACAATGGCAGAGAAATGGTCAATCCACAAAATAACATTCTTCTATTATTTGCAAGAGCTACCCCTACCTCTCAAGAAACATCACAGGATGAATTGCTAACAGAATCCACACAATCTTATCCTAACAATTAATCAGCATATCTACTATTCAAACAATCAATACAGTGTTCAACTATGGCCGGGTTATCCAACTAAATTTACTCAGGGGCCAACATTTTGAAATAGTTAATACAACTGGCATTGATCAGAGGGCCACTTGCTAGGTCTCAGCAGGCCATATTTGGCCTGTGGGCCGCCAGTTGAATAGTGCCAAACTATGGTATTCAGATGTTTCAAAAGATTTAAAATGATCATAACTAGTTATCAAATCCTCTGACATAACTGGGATATTCCATTGCTCTGGCATTAGTTAACCACTGTGAACTTCCATTAAAACTTTAGAGAAGGTTGGGGTCTAAGGATTACCTGACTGTTATAAGATGGTGCAAGGATAGGTTGAATTTACCAGTCAGTGAATTTTTTTATGTACTGGTGCTGAGAATACACAACCTGATTAAAATGAAGGACTAGAATACACATCTCTTTCTCTTCTTTGTTTGTCGTCTCAATGTTACCAGACTGTAACCTAGTGTCATGGTTTTCTGTATTTGTCTTGAGCTTCTCAGACTGATGGATTTGTTCAACTTCCTCCTAGATGTTCTACTGTAAAGTCTCATATGCAGTCTGGTCTGGCTGAATTCTCACTAGATTGCCGAACCATTTGGCTGAATTCTCATTAGATGGCCGGATCACACCGGTGTGTTGGGAAATGAACAGGAGGATAGACTGGCTGGCTCTGCACAACTTGGTGGAATACTTATACATGATAGGGCAAACGTGGTTAATGCCTTGTGTGGAGAGAGTGTACAGTTCAGAGGAGCAGATGGATCACCACAGTCTGGTGAGATTGATGCAGCGGGGAGTGACGAGAGGCTCTGGCAGATGCTCGAGGCTCAGAGGAAAGGCAAGACGGAGGTTTAATCAGAATGCTACTGTCTCGTATAACATTGTTACTGACCTTGCGGAACAGTGCATTTCAAATGCAGTTATTTTCAGATCTAGTGCCCTATTCATTGCCCATGTTTTGCACTGATAGCATAAAGTAGGGATAAAGATGATATTAATCATTTGCTGTTTTGTTGGAAAGGAGACATTTGGGTGTCTAAGCAGTGGGCTAACTGGTAGGTGACAGCATTTGCCTTCTGTACTCTGGCTTCTATCTCTCGAGTCCTAAATATCTGAATTCTCATACTTGTTTGATTGTAGTACCGATAACATGAACATTCATGATATTATGTTTCCTGCCTATCCTCATTACCCACAGTTTTGCGGTGTTTATTCTCATGTCATACTTTGTGCAGGCTTGATGTAGGGAGTCAATATGGTGTTGTAAATTCTGTTCTTGGTGGTGTATTAGACACTGATCATCTGCAAAAAGAAGTTTATTGATTTCTGCAGTGTCTGTATTTGCCTCCTATGATATTCTATCCATGTAAGTAATGAATAGCAATGATGAGAGGACACATTCCTGTCTGACACCTGATGAGATGAGAAACCAGTTTGTCATTCCTTCTGTTGTTCTTACTGTGCACTGACTATTCTGGTAAAGAGCCATGTTACCCAACAGTTGATCTTACTATAATCTTCTTGAATTTTTCCCTAGTTTGCATCTGTTGCCTTCTCTTGATCTATAAATATAAGATGTTGACTTCTATCATATTCACTAGACTGCTTGCATATCTGCCTTAAAGAAAATACTGCACCTGTACAGCTCTTTAACCTTCCTGAAACCAAACTGTCTCTTACTTAACTGGGGCTCTAGTACTGGTTGAGCTCTAAGTTTACATTTTTTGCAAACATCTTTTCAGTATAACTCAGGATGGAGATGCACCTGTATGTTTCACAGTCTATTGTGTCCCCTTCATTCTTTCAAATAGGGACAATGATTGCTCTCTGCCAGTCACTTGAAACTTTCCCTGCCTCCCAAGCTATGTTAAAGATTCTGGTTAACCAAGCTGTTTCTGTTGTTTTACATACAAGGAGCATTTCTGTTCTAATACCATTTATTCCTACTGCCTTGTTCTTTTTACTTTTTTAAGGGCATTTTCAACTCCAAATTCCAGTATCTTTAGTTCATGGTCTTTTGCAAATTTATTTTGGATTGGTACTTCATCCTGTGTTCCACAGTTCAGCAGCTCACTGAAATATTCTTTCCATCCGTCTTTAATATCTTGACTGCTGGTGGTGAGTGGTTTCTTACTCTTGTTGTTAATTACAGTGGAGGGGTTAAACTTTTCTTCACTCAGTCTCATTGCTTTGACACTTCTGTAAAACTTTCCTGATGACTCAGTGCATAATTTTGCTGCTACTTCTCCATAGTCTGCCCAAGATTCTGATTTTGCTGCTTTCACTTTCAATTTGCTGTCCCTTCTTGCTTTCCTATAGCTGATGTAGTCTTCATCTGATTTCTCTTCTGCCACTTACTAAAACATTTTTTTAATGGACATAAATTTTAACATCTTTATTCCTCCACACTGCATGTCTTCTACAAGTGCCCAGCTTTTTGAGAGCAAAGTTTTCTTTCACTGTGTTCAGGATGCAAGTTTTAAAAGTCCTCCACTCTTCTATGTTGTTTGCATCTGTAAGGGTGAAGGAGATTCTGACTGCTCTATCTATTTCCTCCGCAACTTCTTGATCTTTTAGTTTCACAGTGTTTATTACCTTTGTTTGTTGAATTGGTTTCTTGGTGTTTATGAAGCAAAAGTACCACTGGTCTATGGTCTGAATCTATTAGTGCATTAGGGATGGTCCTGGAATTCTTTATTCTTCACCTCTCTCTCTCCTTCTTGTCAACATAAAATCAATCTGTGATGCTTGATGTAAGTTGTTCCATGTTGAACATAAAGGACAAAATGCAAGTTGTCTCTCTACATTTTCAGACACTGAAATGCACATTTGTTAACTTGAGACTGGTGATGTCACCACACAGATTATTCTTTAAGGGAAATGGTGTAACATATGAACATTCTGGACGCTCCTGGAATAGTTGTTTTTAGTTATTATTTATCAATTCCACAGGTAAGTTGGTATTACTTCTTACATTTAACAAATCAAAAAGATAGCACCTCAATCTGTCTTATTTGTGTAGCAAACAGCCCAAGCAACCATCAACAGAATTATTGTGTCCTGATTTCTCGAACATGTCAAATTGCATAAAGTACATTTGTCATATTCATTTTGATCTTAGTCACATAATTTTATGAAGCAAATGAAAATAAAAACACTGAAAAACAATTACTTTGCCAACTGAGGAAAAAAACTCCTCCAAATCCCGTGGTCTAATCCTAGCTGACAGCTGCATGCAAAACACTGTGCGCACATCTCTCTCTTCTGGGGTCAGTTCTGGCTCTCTAGAAGAACATAAAGTATATGATTAAAGTATCAGTGCAACCCAAAAGTTGAACTTCGACAAATTCTAAACTAAAAATGTTCATTTTTCTAAATATTTCAATTTATTCTATTCTAACGCTGGCAAAAAGATGTGTTTACAGTTACTGTAGTCATAGCTTCCTCTCCCCAACTGCTTAATATCTTCCTGGAAAGAATCATGGCTGATTCTCATTAAAAAACCCATCAAGGAACAGTTATTACAAGAGGAGAAAACATATTAAATCTAAGGCTTGCAGATAATACTGGCGTCTTGGCAGGGGGAAAAAACAAAAGCTAGCTGCTCTCACTGACCTACTTGATTAAATATCTATCCAATACACCATGGAAATAAATGCAAGCAAGACCTAAGAGATAAATTATCCAGCTGGTAAAAGTACACAAATTTAAGCTAAAAGTCAAACTTTCAGATGATGCTAACCTTTTGAAACTAAATTGTATACTATTAATTTCTACGTTCTGTTATGGTATAGGGTTTTATACTGAAGACCTCAGATCGAAAAAATACGGTCAAACTGACTGTGCACTCAATGGTTGCTGTGGAAACCAAGATAAACAACGGCCATGTTGAACTTCTTCGAAAAGGTCTAAAACCACAATTTGTGTATGAACAGGCTCAATGTTTTTGTATATTTATACATTTATAGCCCCTTTAAACAAAATAAAACGTTTTTATGATAACACGTATCTTTGTTTTTCTACTTCATTTTAAAAATTTAGCATATATTTTTAGACAATTTTTGTGGCCTTCCCACTGCTGCAGAAAAACTAAACCTCAGTTTCACAAACTTTCTTGTATTTGCATAAGAAATACAATGTTAAATAAGTGCACAAAGTTTCATTATAATCAGCGGTTTTTGAGAAATTTATACTGAAAGCTGAAAAACTGCCAAAATGAGAAAACTTGGGAAAGGTGAATTTGTGCATGTTTTACTAAAAAAAATTTGAAAAACACTTTTTGATATTATATGACCATTAGAAAAATCCTGCTGCATATGATCTTCTTTCTTCACTGATTCCATTGCTTGTTCCCAAAGGGCCTTGACCACATGATGTGGCCAAGGCCCTTTGGAAACAAGCAATGGAATCAGTGTAGAAAGAAGATTATTATGGCCTGGAGACAATGAGGCACCTGGGTGAAACCAGAGGATCTGGTCAGCTGACTACACTCAGAGGAAGGCAAGACAGACATTTAACCAGATTGTGACCGGTACAATCAGTATTGAAACCCTGTGCTGGCTGCTGCAGATGAGGACGGAGCATGCATTGGAATGCCCTGAGTGCTGTGATGTCAATTCTTGACTTAACTCAACATAATTTATTTACTTTTTTGTGAAATGTTTTGTGATCAAGACAAGTTTTGATTTCATTAATTTTGGAAGTCAACTACTCCTCTCTTCTCCAGTTTGTATGTCTACTATCATCAACAGAAACACACGTGCTGCTCATATATTCATACTACATACATATTTCTCTTAAACTGGCTCTGGGTTTTTTCTGCAAGAACAGTGTCACTCCACAACTTTGAGAAGAACAAGAATACGATGTTACAGATTCACTGACTGCTAAAATTCCAATGATGTAGGGACAAACATGTTAGATGCATTGCATACCAATTTTCTGTAATGTTAACGACGCTCTGGTAGACCTTTCTTTGCTTACGAGAATTTTCCAGTTGTAGACTTTGAAATTTCTTATGCTGATCGGCCACGTGAAGTTTAAATTTCTTGGAACAAGGCATTTTTTGATTCACAGCTGTCATGCCATTTCTGTGTAAACAATCAACCACAGTGGCCATCTTTGAGAATCGGACACCCAGTTTCAGTTTCAGCCAGCAGAAATTTTGCGTAGTGACTGACACCCACCATATATGGAAGTTTCCCATCATTTAAAGGAGTCAATAAACGGCGGTGAATGGAAAACATTTCACAAGCGCGAAAATCGCCGAATAGTGTAGGGAACATAATCTTGGTTTCAACAATATATAATACATACAGCTATCTTCTTGTGCAAATAGCATTGCCAAGGGCGAAATGTCACTAATTTTGTAACAAATTTCAATAAACAAATAATTACACAGATGGGGTTAGCTAAGTAAAATATTAATATTACATTAAAGTAACATATCTGAGACAAAAACAAATACTGAATCTGATTTATTTGATTTGATTCAGAAAACGATATCATAGCCCGCTGTGCATTCCCATAAGCACTATTTCCTCACGTTCAGCAGCCAGAGAAGAGTTCCGATACTAATGGTGCCAGTAGCATTCTGACCAAACGTCCGTCTTGCCTTTCCTCTCAGCCTTGAGCATCTGCCAGAACCTCTTGTCACTCCCCCCTGCATTAATCTCACCAGACTGTGGTGATCCATCTGCCCCTCCGAACTGTACACGCTCTCCCACAAGGCACTAACCACGCCTGCCTTATCATGTATCAGTATTCCACCAAGTTGTGCAGAGCCAGCCAGTCTGTCCGCCTGTTCATTTCCCAACACATCGGCGTCCCCTGGTGAAAAAATCCAGACAATACTTATCACCCGTGTCCTCCGCAGCGAAGCATACCTGTTCTGATCCTCCTCAGCATGCTTTCTGAGTCAGTTACAATCACGATGTGTGTGTGTGTGTCGTGTTCTCTAGCCAGCGGAAAGCTGCAGTGACCGCCTTCACCTCCATTCTTAAGCTGGATGTTGTGGTATCACATGCTAGGCTCTCCTGCACCAAACGTTGGCCATTAACTTTTGCTAAGAAGCCCCAAGCACTTCTTTTGCCTCTTGACACTGAACTGTCTGTGTAAATGATCAAATCCTCTGAGCGAGCATTATCTTGAATTAATTGCTGAATTACTACCTCCATGGCACCTGCTGGCCAGTCTCTGCATTCCCGGCTCAGCATGATTATGACTCTACACAAGTCTGACTGTTCAGGTGGCCCTTTGACCCACTCCTCTCCTCGCCTAATGTTCTCGAGGATGCAAACCTGTCCGACTGTGTCTTCTGCCTGAGCCATCCATGACCTCCCTCTTATCAGCTGCTGACCCTTAACTGCACCCAGAGCTTCATGCAAAGGGTGGTCTGTGTCTGCAGCTACCCTGAGATATGGCTTCGTTAGCAGCACCTTGTGCCTACCTGCAACCTTCGGCAAACCAAGAATGTATCGCACACACCACTGGGGTGTCTCTGGTGCAACCCAAAATGACCCGCATAGCCGCGTTTTGTATGCACTCTAGTTTGTCCATCTGACTATTTGAGACGGTAAGCAGTCCCAGGCAATAATCAACCACTGACAGGATCAGGTGCTGATATAGTGTGAAAAGCATTCTCTGCTCTATGTCAATTGCAGCCATAGTCTTTAGTGCACTAAGTCCTTTTTGGCATCTTGCCACAACACTCTCCACATGGTCCTTAAAGGACAGGCTCCTGTCAAATGTAATTCCCAGATACTTCAGTCTGTTCTCTGTTGACATTTCTACCATCTATCGTGAGACTTGGGACATTAGCTTTAACGATCCTGTTTTGGTAGTGGGATTAGATAGCTGTGCACCCAGTCCTGCGGTACTGATGCTGTCTTAATGCCCTGGTTAAAACAGTCGGCCATCTCTGCCAGGTCCTTCATGTGACCATACCTGACTCCATCAGGCCCTGGTGCAGTGTCTTTTGCTTTTTTCAAAATTTGTTTGGTATCTTCCATTCGTATCATGTTTTCATAATGCAGATTCTTCAAGGTGCCAGCTAACTCCTTTCCAACTGCATCCCTGATGTCTACATCATTATGATCTGTCAGAGCTATAAACCTAAGAAGAAAAACCTCCCCTTTCTCCTTGTCTGTTGTCATACGCACATCATCGTCTCTACAAATTGTTCCGACTGCCATAGGCCGATTTTTTTCTTTGCATCTGCCTTTGCAGTTTCCAGAATTTCCCCAATGTTTTATCGCCTCCTATTTCATTCACAAAAGTTTCCCACTTTGCTCTTTTGGCCTCTGCCTGCAGCACAGCGCTTGAAAACCTCCAACTCATCTTTTTCACATTCTCCGCCATCTCCACTTCCTCTCGTGAGCTTGAGGATGTCTGTCGTACTTTCTTAGCTGCTTCACTGCGGCAATCTTTGCCTTCCACTTCTGGAGTCCACCATGGGGGCTGCTTAAAATTAGTTATGGCAGTTCTGTTGCATGCTCCCTGTCTGAGGCATCCAAGTAGGTGCTGGTCCACTTATACTGGAAGGTCTTGCCTGCTCTCCCAACCTTAACCATACTGGGTTTAGGTGATGATCACTCCCATGGTCATTCAGGACAGTCCATTTAAAATCTAAAACTGAAGACTGAGAGACAAATGTCTAAGTCAATGGCTGTTTCTGCATCTCCAGACCTCATTGCCATTCTAGTCGGCTTCCCATCATTGATGCAGACCATATCGGAGTCAACCATGACGGTTTTCTCCACTGCTGTCCCATTCTCTGTTCCTCACGTTGAAATCCCCACACATGAGTAACCTATCACCTGGTAACTCCTCAATTTCCTTGAGCCAGCTCCATTGTTCACAAAACAGTCTACTGTGGTATATATTTTTATGAGGTTCCAACTTAGGCCACCAATCTCCACCTGTATCCCTTGAACCTCAATTCCACTGTGGTTCCACTGGCTCAAGTCATGCAACACACGCTTCACTCCCTCACCTTGTCCATGTCTCTCCTGTCCAACAGGGTTTATATAACTGACATACCCAGGGCAATGATATCCGTCTGTATTTAGCTCCTGGAGCATGATGATATCAGAATAAAAAATCAAACTCTCCAGTACAGGACTTCTCTGCCTAGCACTCCGACAGTTCCAGTATCAAACTCTTACATGATTAAAGCTCAATCTCTCCGCTTTTTGTCTTATTCTCCTAGCACCTGCCCTCCTATTTCTATGCCTT